CTTCCCACACTCGCTACTAAAGAAAGATAAACTCTTTTTTTGGAGTAGCAGTAGATGATGTGGTCAGAGTTGGACTGGGTCACTGGGTCAACTGGGTCACCTGGGTCACTAAATTAAACTGGGTCACTGGGTCGCTGGGTGACGTCATACTCTTTTCAGTTAGACCCAGTGACCCAATTTGACCCAGTGACCCAACTTGACCCAGTTTGACCCAGTGACCCAGTTTGACCCAGTGACCCAGTTTGACCCAGCGACCCAATTTCACCCGGGGATCCAATTCGACCCAGTCACCTAGTTTGATCGAATAACGCAGTTAAGTCAGTGCCCTCGGTTCAAGTGTACAGATTATGCAATAAATGAAATGCTGGTTTGTTGAAAATAATTCTCGATTGCTTGACAACTGCCATTTCTGTGATGTTTGCTTTAATACTGCCGTAAAAAACTTTCCATGTCCCGAATTGTACTAAAATAATGTTATTTCTTTGCTTCAGGGCTTACCAGTTTGCTTACAGGTGTTCATTCACATTTAATTTTTTTCTACTAGTTAGCTTAATCCAAATAAATCTTTTCTCTAAATACTTTCATTGACTACTTGACTACAAACTATAAACAAATGGATTTGATTTTTTTAGGTATTAGTTCTTTTGAATGAAATTGGGCTGCGTGCTTGTTGCCGAATATTATTGAGGAAGTTTTTTTTTTTTAATTAAAAGTTAATTGAAATTGTTTTTGGATGATACCTAACAATAATTTAATTACGGGCCACCGGGTCAAGACGGGTCACTGAGTAAAGCTGGGTCAAGATGGGTCAAGCTGGGTCACCGGGTCAAGCTGGGTCACCGGGTCAAACTGGGTCACCGGGTCAAGCTGGGTCACCGGGTCAAGCTGGGTCACTGGGTCAAACTGAGTCAAGCTGGGTCACCGGGTCAAGCTGGGTCACCGGGTCAACTGGGTCACCGGGTCACTGGGTCACCGGATCACTGGGTCAGTAAACTAACTGGGTCACCGGGTCACTGGGTCACTCTATGCTTGACCCAGTCCAACTCTGGATGTGGTCCTACGCCCCGATGAAGCACCAACTTCATGACACTGAGCAACTTTCTCCGGGTAAACAGCGACATCTTTACTGGAGTAGGAGCACCCATAACCTTTGAAGTCCACACGATAACTAACCAAGTCGCGAGAGTCCACATAGTCACCACCACACCGACTGAATGCGTTGAAACCCTTACACTCCGAGCTCGAGACATGCTGAAGACATATCATAACCACCATCGACTTGCAAGGTAGATACCGGCAAATCGCCGTGAAACTAGCAAAGAGGGAAAAGAACGTATTCGTCTTTACTTTGGGACCACACAGATACAAAAACGTGCCCTTTGGGTTACGGAATGTTTCAGCCATGTTTCAATGTGTCATCGATCATGTAAAAGTCAATGGGTTGGCAGCATTGTCCTCGTCTACTTGGACGACATTATCATCCTGTTCACGCCATCATCTTGCTGCCCGGAAACGTCAATGCAATTTCAAGGCGCGGAGTGAGCAATTTCACTTGTTGCAGATCATCACGTCCACTTGCATCACCACCAATCCCGTAGAAATTTTCGGAATCTCCGATCGAAACCCGTCACTCGTGCAGATCTGCTCGTGGTATCGACGTTCCGTGTCCGAGTCACAATACGCAAAACATCTGACCTGACCAAGGAACCGCATTCAATTGAAGGAACTCCGGACCGGCGCCAAGTAGACCCCCTCTTCCCCTTCATCAACAGAGCTGCAGGCGCTCGCCAGTTCGCGATTGGGGCGGTTCTCGCTGCAGATGGATTAAACACAGATTCAAGAGAGATCTAAGAAGAAGGATGATGACTCAACGAGGAATCAGTGTTCAGGAACGGTTAAGGATAGATTGAGTAGAGACGTTTTGTGCTTGGAGACTCGTGTCATACAAGGTGCTACTATTAAGTGTGATATTATTTTACTATACTAAGCGTTCAAAATGATTTCTAGCCATGCTCATTAGGTAAGATTTTTAATGTCCTTTGCAAAACACATCCTCTAAGATATGCGGCCCCTAAGAAACAAGTTCCTTCCTAAGTTCCTTATCTGGGGGTGTTTCAACATAAACGTAACCCATCAAAATGCAGTTCGAAAAAAGTCAACTGCAATCGACCTTTCTTGGTCCAATCAAATTTTTATGAAATTAGGCTTGTTTTAAAACAACGCTCCCAACAAAGCCTTTTGTACACCTATCTTGTGCCGGGTGGTTATATCGTAGAAATTACGTACTCTCACCATTTCGAGTTATTCATACTTATAGAATGTTGCTTTGGTTTCATTTTGTGCTCTTCTTGCTATATTGTAGACAATTTGTGTTCTTATAACCATTGAATAAAAAGTGTTTTTATTCAATGTTATAACTTACTCACCATTTTAGAATGGGACTGCATCTCTTTAGTTTTTGGGTGCGTTTAACTCTGAAATCCTTTTGTACAACAATTTTATGCACATTTTGTGCCATTTGTTTCCTTTATTTATTTACTTTCTCTTGACACTTTATAGGCTTGCGCCCAATTACAGAGTGATAATGCTTTTTAGAGGTGTCCGGTATTTACCGCAAAAATTGGGAAAACTGCAGGAAAGCCTAATTCGAAGTAGCCGGCAGAATGCACGAAACAGATCTAAGGAAATTCCCACCTCTGTCACAGATGAAAAATTCTTACCTCAGCCCAGGTTCGAACACCCGACCTCCGACTGTGTAGCCTAGCGCTCTACCACTGAGCTACAAAGTCGCTCATATTCTGAGGATAATTTTACAGACTTTTTTTAATGCAGGTCTTGTGTGAAACGCACTATCAATATATTTGGGATTCTTCCATACACTGATTATGAAGAAAACCTTTTTTTATGGCACAATTTACGGGCTTTCTTAAAGTATAAGTAAAAAATGGTACCGGCTAAATGTGGATGTGCTCTTCCGATCAGAGGTGAACTTCCATTGAATACCAGATTCACTTACTGTGTACACTTTTCAAATTTATTTCTAAACGCCTTAGGGACATATTGCACCTCATGAAGCCCATTGTATGTCGACTATACCCGAATTGCCGTTGAAGGAGGCAATTTTGCAGCTTGTACGGATTGCGAATCAGATTGCTGGAAGTTGATGAAGAATCTTACGCTTTGGTTTGACGTTTGAGTAATAAACTTTATCGCTAAATAATTTGAATATGAACATTCGCTATGAATTTTTAAATGCTTTAGGGATATGTCTCACCCCATGGGATGTCCACACCTTTTTTTCGCGTTAGAGTAAAGCAATTTGATATCCTAAAGTATGGATGTGCTTTTTCAATTTAATCCATTGCCTTAAATTCGTAAAAATGCATTAGGGGTTGATTTCTCCCCGTGAAACTCACTGCAAGTAGGTGAATTTCTACGTCTACGTTTCATGTGAAGGTAAACAGCTTTAGGGCTAAGTTTCAGTTTAATAATCACATATGGAGACAGTCTGAAATTATTTCGGTGTTGATTTCACCCTGAGACCCCTTAACTAACTTTTTGCGTTGTAGTAGGTCAGTTTAACATCCGGCTTGGCTGCGCTTTCATTAGCAAGTGTTTGATGTGAACTAATAAAATCATTTAAGGGTTGATTTCCCCCCTCCCCCCTCTCTCTCTCGTTCGTTTTCTCTCGTTTCGCGTTGAAAAAAAATGTGTAGTGTCTTAACCCCCAGGTTCTACGCTAACGTCACACTACAAGAACACGGAAATAAAGTCAAGCCAGGAACGTTTAAAAATGGCCACCCAAATGACTATTCCCTCCAAAACTAAACAAGATCCCGCTTAAGTTTGAAAAGTGGCACGTGATCAAATATCTAAGGCAGGACCCCCTTACGGTAGTGTAGACAATGCTTTGACCTGAAGCACAGTAGGGAAGGAACGTAAAATAAAACACTCAAATTGTGAAACGTTTGTTTAATAATGATCGCAATTATTAAGATTGTGAAAGCTCGGAAATTTAAGTCGAAATAAATTACATTGCAAAAATAAAATTTGAAAATGGTAGTTCAACGAATAAAGATAGAAATAGGCTGGGAAAAAAAGAACTTACCAATAAAACACCCAGCCGTCAAATTAATATCAAATTGTGTTGTAAACTTAATTATTTGTAATGATGTGAATGCATTATAATTATAACATCACAAAAAGTAGCAGGTAAACTTCAAGAGGTAACGTATAGGTTAAAAGCAAGTTTTGGGAATTATGGGTCAGGTAAGCAGGTACCAAGATTCTAAGAAAGCGTGAAATACACAGGATGTGACTCAACTTTGGTGCAATAAAGTCTTTTTGTTAAAAGCAAGATGGAAAATTACATGGCCTTGTAGGCAAATTTAAATAAAAACTAACTAACTAATTATTGAATCGCCAGCCATTCATCGCAAATAGATTCTAAACTGAAGAGCTTTGATTAGCGTTATCCCGCTCCGGCAAAATGGGTAACCCGCCCCTGGTTTCGGGGTTTCGAGCCTACAGTTCAATGTCGAAGACAATCACGGAATTAGGGTGTCGTAACTCAATTTTGACTACAGTTTTTTTACCACCCCCGTGACTGCTTCATTCACGGAGAAAATTGTTAATAACAAACAACAAGTCAGTACATACATCAAACGAATCGGTAATTTTCACATATTAAAATAAAATGAAAACTTATAGGAATGTTACTTCAGGGACAAGTAATCAACAACCATAAACATAAATTAAGTAAACATTACGCCAAAAACGTAAACAATTTCAAACAATAGCATAACGGTAACACAAATGTGATTATGCATTGCGGTTAAACAAAGTAAATTTCAAAATCATAGGTTGAAACACACAAAAAAATATAAAATGCGGCATACAAAACACAAATACGATATAAAGAAATGCAAAGATTACTACCTGCATTAAAAAAACACAAAATAACAACACACATTTATGGAGCGACGCGTTCACGACCGCCATTCAAGACAAGATGCCACAGCCAGCTTTTTCCCACCTAGAGATTGCATGGTTGCCAACTCTCAAAAATGTATGATCGTCGTAAGTTGTATATACAGGGTGGAACCTCTCAAACTCAAAACGGATATGCTCATTATAATGAGACATTTGTTTAGAAATTAAATTAAATTGACTTAGGGGTTGGTTTCACTACATGAACTCTATTATAAGCTTATGAGATGACACGTAGGATTTTTCCAATTAAATACGACTGTGTTCCTCCCATGTTGACATCTGCTCTGAATTTTTAAGTTATTACATTAAGGGCCCCATGGCACATTACTGAGACCTCACGTTGTCGTTTTCTGAAAGAGTAAGTACAATTATCGCTGTGCTCTTTTGATTTAGAGCTGACTAACCATTTCTAAAGACGTTAGGCGCTGCTTTCGTCATGTAAATTCTACTGCAAGATGAAACCATACGTTTCCGTTTCGTAATACGGGTGTTTCTTTTCTAACTCACCACTATTTATTCCTCAATACCAATAACCAACAAAAACAGTTAATAAAGTTGGACCCGAAAATAAAACGAACTATTCTTATTTTAAATGATAAAAAAAAGAGAAGAAAATAAAATGGCAGTTAATTTCTTAAAGGAGACCGATCGTTTTTTGAATACAAATCAAATGAATTACGTCACCTTAATTATAGTACCCAGAATCAATTGCTTCTGTATGGTACAATTCGTTACGGTCCTTCTGGAAGGAATGATGCCTCAAAACTTGTGACGTAAGCTAAGATGGAGCTGCCGGATAAACGGCTAAGTTGCTCAGAGATGTGCATGGATTGCTTCTCAGCGGTTAGTTCGTAGTTTACTCGTAACTTACCATACGATTGAACGCCATCCAGTTGCTTTAAATGCTTAACCCTTCCTATAGGAAACTGGGAAGATACCAAATACGTAGCCAAGAAATTAACCAATGCAGTACCGATTTGTTTATCCACAACAAGGTCACTTGATTACACTTAACCTTCCCCTTCTAAAACAAAATGTCTCCATATATCAAAAGTGTTAAATTAAAAATTGAATATAAATTTAACCCCATTCCAAATCAATGATAACGTCATTGTCGTTTCACATTGAACTAAGTAATTCTCTCTTGATATATCTTGATATTGGGGTTGATATTACCCTTTGGATTTTTTTTTATTTATTAGTGCAGGCCATTCTAAATTTGTGGATGCTGTATCCTTTTGGTACTTTCACGGAAGTTTCTTACCTAGGACCTCATTTAGAGAGGCTTCTAGCTTTGTCTACAGAAATCATTGGGGCAAAATCTCTAATACTCTTCCAAATAGTATGCGCTTATTTCGAACCTTACCTACCGTTTGCTCCAATAGTAAAAAGTGATTCCATCAGCTTCACTAAAGTCGCAAGTTTCGCCAATTATGACAACGACAATGATTTTTGGAACATTTTGAACCCCAATACCAAAGATATCAAAATTTCCACGAATCCCACGCGACCTTTACAGTACACGGCATGGAACCCACCCCTATTCCCCTACGTCCCATAAGGCTGTAAAGGTCCACCTTCCGTTACCAGAAGTCAAAAAACCAAATTAATCACTTCCACACCCAGTGCTTTACAGAAAAATGTGCACCTGGTATCTGGTCGTGCAGGAAGTCGTGCAATACCGACCACACTACGAACGACTTCCTTTAGGAACGAGGAAATCGAATGAATAATTAACACACGACGAGGAAGTATTTATCTGCAAAAAGACAAAATCATTTACAGATCGCCGGAAAGTCTACTTACTTAACACATGGCGAGCGTAGAACACGACGCGTGGGCAATTAGAAAAGATGGTGAAAGTTAATGTCCAAGTTTCCATAAATGAATAAATACTCGTACAGCGAGCTATTGTTTACAAACATTCCTAAGTGAAAGTTAAACAATAAAAGTTAATGGTTTATTCATTTCGACCAGGTCTTGTGGAACTGTAACGCAACCAATACGTATGTGACAACCGTGCCGCATATCTGCAAAGTGTACGTGATAAGACCACCCAAGACAGGGGGGTACACTACTTACCGGTGCAAGCAGGCGCGTTCCCACGATGAAGATGTCGGAAGCCTTCAGGACCGGTTTCTGTATCTTCAAGGTGTAGATCAGCATCTCCACCTGCGCCGCTTCGTCCGCACGCAACTTGCTGATGGGGTACTTGAAGAGGAAGGAGAGTAGGTCATCGCTCTGCAAGTAAAGGTAGGTATACTGTAGGACCTGACACACTCACCGTGCGCGTAAGCCGCTCGACGTTACCCAACCAGTAAACCAACATAACCGCTACGTAATTTACGCGGAATAGTAACCCAAAAACCGGGCCAGCATTCGTGATGAATAAAGCGGTTATGACGATGTAGAAGGATGCGATTGTTGAGATTAAGATTGCTATCAACCAGAAGAAGAAGTACCGACTGAGAAGCTTAGATTTCTTTAGGTAAATAAGACGTAGGGCTGAGTGCAGGCGGGCTGCCTTTTTCAACTTGCTGGATACAAGGGCTTCATGGGCCATCATGGATTTCTTCACTGAAAGATTGATATTTCCAATCATACGCTCCATACATAAAACGTCCAGGTTGAAACTAAGCACAGTTAACCCATCGATGACCGCCGCGGCGACAATGACCCAGTGACCAAGCGCGCAACCGATGACGCCACCAATAATCAGCAGAAGAACGTACACGAGCGCTTTTCGCCTCAGGAGACGCACGTCTTTGTCGCTCAGCAACGTGGAAATTGCGTAATGACTCCTGGTCTCGAATAAATCGAACCACGCTCCGTAAACCGCAACTGTCTTCCCGATCCTCTGCACTTTACCGACAAGAAGGAGGACGCCGGTTGTTAGAAAGAAAACGTCGTTGAGCACAACGAAAGCTTCCAATTTCGTTGTCGTTTTGCTGAGCAAGCTCAGACGCCAACCTCCGTCGGCTAACAGGAGGGTTAGAAAGACGAATGTGCATGCCAAACCCTTGGTGGAGACGCCGATTGCTTGGAGGCGCGACGGTACTCTAGTATGAGGGCACTTGTAGGAAAACGGAAACGTGCCGAAAACGAGCCCGAATTTGGCAATTGGAAGGATCGCGCACAGAAAGCAGTCCTGCAGATTCTGTTGTGGCATCGTTACGGTTGAGGGTGTTGAATTTAATCTGTCGGCGTCGTAAATGGGTCGAGTTAATTAATTAAAATTGAATGCTTGTGTATTGACAAACCGTAAGTGCTTTGACAATTTAATTTCCAGCCGACGTTTAGAACAAAGCAAACAGTAATTAATTGCGTAGCGCGCCCCAAGTTTTCATTGAACAAATGTCGACAATATCGCGAGATCAGCCCTAAACACACATTTTTATACATATTACCGAGGTACCATAATTTGTTATGTATTTGTAACAAACCTTGTACCTGCACTTTAATCTTTTAAGATTTAGGATCAAATCTACTTCGGGGTTGTATGAAGCCTCCCCCCCTCGGAGGGTCTGGTCAGTGTGGAATATCCCCCAGCATTTAAAGATTCAATTACCTTTTCCACAGTCTAGGTATATCGAGGGTGAAAGGAATAATAGGAAAATATTTATCGGTAGCTACTGTTGAACCGTCATACGCGTTGGGGGAGGGGGGTATTGAATAACCCCCAGACTCCCCCTAGTGCTACGCATTTCACCAGAAACTGTCAGGAGTGTCTTGGGGGTTTTACGTCTTGGCAGAGAACGTAGCACCGGGGAGTTTGGAATGGTATGGAATGCCCCCCAGCATTAGGCTACATTTGGTCGGAGGGCCTGTACTATGTGCAATATCCTCCAGCACACAAGGATTCAATTGCCTTGTCCAAAGACCACATTGAGAGTGCCAGGAGTAATAGCAAAATAATTATCCAGTGCTGCCTTGCTGACGAATTTCACTGGTGACCTTTGGAGAAAGGTTATCTAATCTTTATGTCCTCTGAGGAGTATTCCATACCCCCCAGATCCAGTGGTCATATGTTTTTCCCCGGAAACAATGAGGAGTGTTTTTTAGGATTACACGTTTTGGGATCACCGGAATTACGTTGTCTTTTTTCTGGGGGTCTGGGGGATGTGGAATATCCCCCATACAAGCATTAAATTAACTTTTTCAAACACCACTTTGAGAGTGCTATGAATAATAGGAATATATTTACCGAGTGCTCATTTTCTTTCCTTTTATTGTTTTGAGGACTAACCAATTTGGGTGAAAAGTTAGTACCGGGAGTAGTCTGAAGGTAAGGAATGCCTATTACCTATATACCTACTCTTGGGGAGTCTGGGGGACGATGTGATATATCCTTGAGAATACAAAGATTCAATTAGCTTTCCAAAAACCACTTTGAGTGTGATAGGAGTAACAGGAAAATAATTTTCGAGTGATTCTTTGCTGGAGAGTTGCACTCATAGCCTTTGGAAAGAGGTTACCGAACCTTCTTTCGCACTGGGGTTACCCCCATACCTCCCGGTGATACGTTTTTCCCCAGAAACCGTCGGAAGTGTTTGGAGTATCCAACATTTTGGGAGCGAACGTAGGTAGGTTTGGGGGGGCATAGGACACCCCCCGGCATATATACGAAGATTCGATTACCTACTTTTTCCCAAGGAGAGCGCTAGGAGTAATAGCAAAACCATTATCGAGCCCTTCTTTGCCGTTCTTTGCTGGTCAGTTTCACTGGCAGTCTTCGAAAAAAAGGTCATCGAACCTTCATTCGAGCTGGGGGGTATTCCACACCCCCCCAGACTGCCCGATGCTACGTTTTTCCTGAGAAACTGTCAAGAGTGTTCTTAGGACTAAACGTTTTGGAAGAGAACGTAGTACTGGAGGGTCAAGGGGTATGGAAAATCCCTAGCGAGCATGAAGATTCGATCACCTTTTTCTTAAAGCCCCTTTGAAACCGCTAGGAATAATAGGAAAACAATAATTATCGAGTCCTTGTTTGATGGTCTTTGCTGGCCAGTTTCACTAGTAGCATTCAGAAAATGGTTTTCAAATCTTGATGCGCGTTCTGGGGTATTCCATAACCCCCAGCACCCCCCCCCTCCCCCGGTATTACGTTTTTTCCCCAGAAGTGTTTTAAATTCTCAACGTTTGGGGTGGGAACGTATAACCCTGGTGTCTGGTGGGTGGGTTGGGGTGGGGGGGATGGACTCTCCAGCAGACAAACGCCAGCATTATATACGAGGATTCGGTTACCTTATTCGCGCTAGTGCTAATAGGAAACTGTCAGGAATGTTTTTAGGACTAGCCGTTGGACGAGAGAACGTAGCACTGAGGAGCTGGGGGTATGGAATGCCCCCAGCATGCATGAAGATTCGCTTATCTTTTTCCGAAAGCTGCTTTAAGATCGCTAGGAGTATTAAATATTTATCGAGTTACTGACGAGTTTTACTGGTAGCTTCGGGAGAAGGTTATCGAATATTCATGCGTGCTGGGGATTTTCAATTCCCCCAAACCTCCCAGTGATACGTTTTTCGTCAGAAACTGTTTTGAGTGAGAACGTACCACCACCGGTGGGTCTGGGGGGTATGGTATTCCACCCAGCAGATATTCACCAATATTCTATTACTGCTCTACCAACGCTACTTTGGAAGGGGGTAGAAGTGCTACGCAAGTAATTATCAACTCCTTCTGTGTTGGCGAGTTTCACTGGTAATTTTTTGGAAAAAGGTTATCAAATCTTCATACGAGCCGAAGGTATTCCATACCCCCCAGCCAGGACTAAACGTTTTGCGAAACAACGTAGCACTGGGGTCTAGGGAGCATTATAACCATTTGCAGGGGAGGTGGTTTTAAGGTTATTATAAGTGGTGTGCGGGAGAGGGGCAGGGTTTAGCCCTGGAAGCGACTAAGAAAAGACAGCGGTCCTAGAGGGCCAAGTGAAGATTGTTAAATGGCACCAGTGTGCGTAAAAATAGTAAAGTTCGAATTAACCGCGCAGTAAACTAGCGAACAAAATGACAACGTTGCGAGAATTTGAGTTTAGTTTTATTTATAAATATCGATGGTTAAGTCGAAAAAACAAGTCACGAATAAATTACACTGAGTGCGGAACCAAATGAACTGAATTTTACCATAAATCGAAAATTTTCCATTCGTTAATGGATCATCAAAGTAGCCGCGTATTGTTTTAAACCAAACTTTCTGCGTTTTGTTCCTTTGTTCTCACGATTGCTTCTTTCAATGCCTGCTTTTAATTCTTTAGAATTGTACATCCTCATTAATACTACGTGTACTTTATGCAGAAGAGGAGAGCGGTACAGTGGAAACAACTCAACCTGGGCCAGTAAATGAACGTAGAATAGGGCGATACTGTCTAATTTTCCGCGTCTCCACCGAACCTTACCTCTAAAATAGTCATAGAATATTTTGACTCCACTGATTTGCATGGAAATTTGGATTTAGCTTTTTCGTACCCTCCACTCGAAAATTGGATTTGTGCCTTTGGTTGCTGTTAATTTTTTAGCGGTGGAAACTACCCCTATTAATCATATAATTGTAAATTCAAGCAATATAGGATTATTTAATTATACAGTAACATTAAATTTAGATTTCTTTCTTTGCTATTTTTATTTTTAAGTGCTTTAAAAATCCATTTTGTAGGTTTTTTAAAAGCTATAAAATTATTCAAATTAATTTTTTTAAATCTTTATTTTTGAAAGGGTTGTAGTGGAAAGGGCTCGAATGAGTCACTAGTGACGAGTGTATGCAAACTTTGAACAGCCATATCTTAACCAATTTTTGTTGTAGAGAAAAACAAAAAAAAGCAAAATGTTCAGAAAAGCAAAAGCTACATTTTTTTATTCTTGTAAATTTTTCGTATCACTAATACTTTTGAAGTTATTTTGAAAAAAAGGCAATTTTTGAAAACCAAAAATTTTTTTTAATTTTAAAGCTACATTTTTCCAAAATAAGCACTTTGCACAGGTCAAACTTACATATCATATAAACAATACATAAATAAAGTAAACTGTAAAGCGGTAACAGTTAATTACAATTGGGGTGCGATCGATTTTTTTTACCAAAAAAAAGGACCAGTTTTATTTTGAGCGTAACTCACTTAGTTTTGATGCTAGGAACTTTTCTTAAAAACAAAAAGAAAAGTATTTTCAAACACTTTAAAAAAGTATTCATAAGTTTTCCCCGAAAAGTGCTTCATTTTTTGGTTATTTCACGTTGAAGTACTCCATTTGGAATTTGACGAATGAGAACCTACTTTTCATGAGCTACAACTTTGCTTCTACTGGATCTACAGACTTCATATATAGACCATTTTTTTATAAGCTATATTTTTGCTAAGAATCCTTTTTTCGATACAATACCTACTTACTTTTAGAGTTATTTACGAAAAACAGTCTGAAAAAGTGTTTTTTTTGTTGAAAAATGAACATTTTCCCTCGCGAATAACTCGAATACACTCAATTTATGAAATTCCGAAGTTTTGAACGTATCTCCCCCCCCCCGCCTAGAAGGGGTGGCAGGGGCATTCACCCCCCAAGTAAAAGCAACTCTGGGCTCAAGTTCACCTTTGAAGTAGAGGGTAAGAGGAACCTACATCCAAATTTTCAAGCAAATCCGCCGAGGCGCGAAAATTACACACCAAAACGGTCATTTACTGTCCTAAATAAATGCTTAATAATTGTGTTGTTGGTACCATTGTTTGCAAAGTTAAATTTAATTAAGCGGCCAGGTATTTTTTGCGTATAGCTAGGAATTAGGTTCTTTATCCTTAAGAATTGTGTTAATTATGGTATTAATGATAAACGCATGCAATTTGAAATAACTGTTTGCAATTTTTGTACAGTTACTTCTTCACAAAAGTTTACATCAAAAATAAGATAACATTGAGGTTACGTAATATCCCCAAACATACTTAAGTACTTACATTTTTGAGCTTGAGCCTTGAATTGCCACTTCTCCATTCCTTGAGTAGAGGATACATCACGAACTTATAAATTAAGATGGACTGCTAATGCTGAATTGACGAATGACACCTACATGGGGGCAGCCATGATGTGCACTTACTTGGCGCGAAATTCAAATCAACTAATAAACAAACATTAACCTCCCGTTTTCTAAATAAATTACTGTGACACATGTCATTTTCCAAGGCTGCAATAATCTCACAACTCGGGCACTAGGAAAATTCCCCTAGAAACTAACTAATACGTGCACATCATGGCCGCGCCCATGCTAGGGCCATTTTCTACCTCTATGCAACTGTTTGATCAGCAGTCCATCTTAATTTCGTGGGATACATTAACTAAATTCTTTCCTGTTCTTAACCCCTCTGTATTTCAGCTAGCCTGGTAAGTAAAGTACCGAAAGTTGCAAGAAGAATTGCATTAATAGGACCCAATGTTCTTATCCACAATTGTAACTACCGTTACGCGCAGAATATATACAGAATCACAATTCACAACATGTACGCAGAACTTACATAGAATCTATTCAGTCATACACAGAGGAAATACAGACAAACTAATAAATTGCTGTAACCAAAAGCGGTCATGGAAATTAAAATGATCGGGCATGCAAATGAAGGTTTCATGATGATTTCATGTACACAAATAATCATTAATTAAGAACTGAATTTTCTGATAAATCGTGGTCCAAAGTAGCAACGCGACGTTTTGTTTTTAATCGCAGCGCGTTGTTATCTTCGCCTGCGATTCGTTTTGAGTACTCGCGTTTCTTATGACCTCGCTACGTTTTGATGAATTTATCGGTGAAAGAAGTTGAATTGCGTATGCGTCTTAGTGAGTTGATTGAATTTTAATTGTTTGGAGTTACGCGGTAAACAATTTCCTAGGATAAAATTAAATATCTGTCCAGTGAGGATAGTTTAATGAATAATTTGTTATTTCGCAGCGGTAAAGGAAAGACACACTTACCACATTTGCCAGTTTCTCTATGTTAACAAGATGGTGAATCAAGGAACATATGGTGCAGAAAACCCGAATATGCAGGATAACCAAGTCTCCGTTGTGGTAGTCTATGAAGCATGCCAAGGCGTTGGCGAAGATGCTAACAATCAGTTGCACTATTAATATCAAGATCCAGAGCAGAAAAAAGGGACTAATCAGGTCCGCAAGTGACCCCACGTTTCGGAATACTGCAGTGTGGAATTTACATTCCTTCCTGATTTCCAAACTCCCTCGGTTGTCCTTCAATTTAGTTTGAAAGGCGCGACGAGCACTTCCGTAAATGGCGATAAAGAACTTCAGTTGTGTGTTGACGTAAACGAGCCCGGCCACCTGTGTCAACGTGGCGAATGACGCAAAAATGTTCAAAACAAGATCAACATTTCCGTTGTTCAAGAAAATCGGGTAGCTCATCGCTATAGCCGTTGCGCTCAGGTACAGGTAACTCAATCCTTTTCTTTTTCGTAGCACTTTCAGCTCTTTCTCCATGTCCAAACCGTATCTGGCGCAAATCTTCACCCAGCTGTTCAGCTCTAATACATGACGTCTACATTTAACGGCACCAAACACATTTAACAGCAATGAAACAAATGTGTTCAGCATTTCCGCAACGAGATCGAGGGCGACCACTTTGTGTTCATGTTGGATGGCCTTGTTAATGAGGTTCCCGACGAAAAACACATGACCACCGCACAAAATCGCAGCCCATATCACCAATGGGAGACTAACTTTGAAGTGTGCCTGAGAAATACAGCATTTTCGGTGCGTGCAGACGTAGGTGCCGCAAAAAACGCCAAAGAAGCTCGTCAGATGCAGTATTTCACCTAACGTGCAGACAACGCATAGCTTTCGAGGAGGACGCGTAAAAGTAACGCGGACCGAAGCCATTTCGAAACTCGCCTGTGTTACTTTTCCAAATGTGACATAACTGAAGATGGTATCAAGATTGTAAATGGCGATAAAGGCGTCAGAACGATGTGATCAATAATTTAGTCACCGTAAAGCCTCGCACGCACCCCTTTGTCATACGCATTACTGTCGACGCTAAATTTAATTGCCTTATGCTCCTACCCGTATCCATTTCTTTCATAATATTATTATACAATTGGAAGATGTTTTTGAGTATAGAGACATTTATACAGAACTAATTAGTGTGTCAGAAGATACTAAGGTAACCCTTGTGGAACCACGTAAGTTTAGTCATACACATAAGTTACCTAAGTTTATATTAACTAACTTTGATGCGAATGATTCGTCATAAATACAGTCGTTATTGATCTCATAAAAGAACGATTCGGAGAAACAAAACTCTTAATAGAATTATATGTTAGGGATTTATTGTCTTTGATCTTAAATCGTAGTAGTAAGTAGTAACATTACCTTAAATGAACTCTATGATAATCTACAAGGACAATTACGTGCTTTAGAGACTTTAGGTGTGACTACTGACACTTATGAAGCTATGTTATGTCCATTAGTGGAAGCAGCTTTGCCAAAAGATGTCATTATGAACTGGGAACGACAACGTGCACTCAAATCATCCACAACGGAAACCCAAAGCACACCAAAGATTTGATGAATTTTTTACGTAATGAAATTGCTGGTTTAGAACGTTTAAAATTTATTGATACACTATCAATGTCTAAATCCATTGAATCTACTGCTGCTGTATTACATTCAAGCACTCCAGCAACAGAACAATTTCAAAACACAAGGATAGATTTCTTAAAAAAGAAGGTAAAATACAAGAATGTCTCCATTGTAAAAAGGATAATCACATTCTTGCCAATTGTTTCGCTGCTCGTAAAATGCCTATACGGGAACGATTAGAGTTTATTAAAACACATAATTTGTGCAAGCAATGCCTTCGGTCTCATCCAAGGACATGTAAGTCGGGCAATAAATGTGAAATTTATGATGAGCAACATCACACTTGGGCATGTGAGAATAAAACCGTCAAAACAGTTGTCGGCAATCATACTGAAACGCAAGATCCCATTTATTTGCAAACGTTAACGTGTTCTTTAATCACAACCAATGGCCTTATTGCAGTACGTGTTCTATGTGATAGTGGCGCTCAACATCACTACTGACTGTTGCAAACGTAATCAACTACAGTCAACTAGAGCTATTGATCTCACTCAAAAACTTTTTGGTGGTGGATACGTTCAAAAGTCCGGAATTTCATAAATTGAGTAACTCTAAGCAACTTTTGTTCTATAGAGTTTTTTCACTAAGTCAATAGTATTCGAGTTATTTGCGAGTGAAAATGTTCATTTTTCAACAACAAAAAAACACTTTTTCAGACTGTTTTTCGTAAATAACTCTAAAAGTAAGTAGGTATTGGCCCGTATGAATAAAAATAAGCAAATGCTTATACTTGCAAAATTCAAAGTAAATACTCGTAACTGCCCCTTCATACTGGTCTGTTTAGCAGCGTTGCACTGCGTGCTGTCCTGCTGCTCAGCAGCGCTACTAAGTCGCCCAGTACGAAGGAGCACTTACGAGTATTTACTTTGAATTTTGCAAGTATAAGCATTTGCTTTCTTTTATTCATACGGGCCATTGTATCGAAAAAAGGATTCTTAGCAAAAATATAGCTTAAAAAAAATGGTCTATATATGAAGTCTGTAGACCCAGTAAAAGCAAAGTTGTAGCTCATGAAAAGTAGCTTCTCATTCGTCAAATTCCCAATCGAGTACTTCAACGTGAAATAACCAAAAAATGAAGCACTTTTCGGGGAAAAGTTATGAATACTTTTTTAAAGTGTTTGAAAAAACTTTTCTTTTTGTTTTTAAGAAAAGTTCCTAGCATCAAAACTAAGTGAGTTACGCTCAAAATAAGGTTGGTCCTTTTTTTTGGTAAAAAAAATTGAGGAAATCACCCCCTAATTAGCACCCCAATTGTAATTAAGCGTTACCGCTTTACAGTTTACTTTATTTATGTATTGTTTATATGATCTGTAAGTTTGACCGGTGCAAAGTGCTTATTTTTGAAAAAATGTAGTTTTGAAGTAAAAAAAAATGTTTTTCTATTTCGGTGTCACAATGATGATTTTGTACAACTGTTTTCGGCCGAAAACAGTTGTACAAAGACAGTGATTATAGTCGTTTTTTTTTGGTAACTCATCTCTTAAGTTGGCAGTTAGTACTAGTTAGTACAAGTAGGTACTTCGTTGGGTACTTCCATGTTTGAACTTCAAAATGTCAGTCTTACTACGCTGCCAACCTAAAACTTAACGGCATAAAAAGTGTTCCCAACATAAAACATGTTAGTTCTAATGTTCCCTATAGCATTGATTATATACACTATCAGATAGGCCGAGCTTATGAGGCTACATGATCCTATAAAAGAGTTCCCGTTAAGGCGGGCAGATGTCACACTATGTATCACTAAATTATTTATGCATTGCTCACAACCGCAAGGTCGAAAATTCATTAGCCAACAGTTAGTACTTGGAGTTCAGTCCAGAGGGCGCGTTGGATAAATTGCTGATGAGAAAGTATCGCAATCATCATTTTTGGGCAAAATTTGCTGTCAAATTAAAAACTAAAATCTGAACAGCTGTAATTTTATTATAACCTAACTTTGCATTGTACTGTCATGTTTTATAAAAATATACGAAATAAAATTTCATCTCAGGGCTCTGCAATGAAACAAACACAAAATATTATTCCGACTACCTCCAAGAATGGTTAAAAACTGTAATGTAAACAATGCCAGCTTATTGTACGAGTATGTAAGTGTTAGAATCTTTAAAGAAGTGTAGGTGTACCTATAATCAATTTCTTTTTACATCAGTGTATGCAGATACTCCTTCGCAGTGCTTTATATTAAAGGGAACAACCATTTCTTCAAAGTCATAAAACCGAAAACATTATATTCTTAACAAGCTACGTAGAGAGGATCTTTTGCTCATGGAAATCGAAAGCATGTATGTGGATTATGTATTTCAGAAGCAGCGAAATATTTTGAGTTTCGAGTAAACTGGCTGTTCAATTCTGAATATTCTTACGCTCTTCAGTTATACTAATGATAGCAAACGCATGTTTCCTTTGCGCTGACAAATCTTAACAAGTGATAAATTCGGGCGATCAACCTTCGAGGACACGGCAGATTCACATTCAGCAGTGTTTTTTTATATGGACATTTTCGTAACGCCCCAGTGTAATAGCTGTTCGTTTCAAGACACGGAGGATTAGTACGAACATATTTGCAGAGTAGTGTACTTGTGCAATTTTTTATTGTAATTAGCAGACTCCGAGTCCACAGGGTGCGTTATAAGTTTGTACAAAATCAACAACCGCCAGTCGCTGTTGTTATATGTGCTGGCAGTAGGGGAGACACATCATTGGGTGTGGCACGAGGCATTAGAGGAGAGTTCGTGGTGAATGGGAAAATATAAATTAATTAATAAGAACACGGAACGAGTAAATACGAGGACGTTATGAGGTGCGTAAAGTTAGCACCACCAAGTTTTCCAATCGAGCTGAAATGTTGCACACGTTTAGTGCTATAACCGTGCTATTTCGTGCTTTAATACCAAAATTCATGCTGCATAACAAAACAATCTAAAAAAAACTGTTGGTGGTGCTAACTTTACACTAGCACCACCATGCTTTTTAATCTGTCTGTAATTTTGTCATAATTTAGTGCCCAATTCGTGATATTTCGTGCTGTAATACAAGAATTCGTGCTACATGTTGTAAAAAGTTATTGTAAATCGACTGTGGTGGTGCTAACTTTACACTAGCACCACCAAGCTGTCCAAATGTAATAAAACTTTGAAAACATTTAGTGCTAAATTCGTGCTATTTCGTGCTGCAGAACTAACATTCGTGCTTGAAATTTTAAAAAAACATAGCACCAAAAGTGTGATTGAGCTAACTTTACACTAGCAGTAGCACCCTTATGCCTCCCGATCGAGATAAAAGGGTAAAATATACTTTACCTAT